GGGATCTGAATGAGCATTCATTTAGGCCCCTTAACTCGACGTTTGGTTCATCCCACAGCGCCAGTTCTGCTTACCAAAAGTGGCCCACTAGATACTCAGATTAGTCGCCGGAGCTTCATCCCTACAAGCAAGCTCGGCATCTCACCCATTTAAAGTTTGAGAATAGGTTGAGGACGTTTCGTCCCCAAGACCTCTAATCATTCGCTTTACCGGATGAAATTCACCCTGCGAGTTCCAGCTATCCTGAGGGAAACTTCGGAGGGAACCAGCTACTAGATGATTCGATTAGTCTTTCGCCCCTATACCCAGCTCCGACGATCGATTTGCACGTCAGAATCGCTACGGACCTCCACCAGAGTTTCCTCTGGCTTCATCCTATTGAGCACTTAGTTCCACCATCTTTGAGATGCCTGCCGCGCGTGCTTGCCGACTGCCCGCGGAAGAGCCTGCCCGGTGCACCTCCACCGTTTTACCCGACAGCCGCTTCGAGACCCAATGACTTTTCGCGGCGTCTTAGCAGATCCGGAGCTTCGCCCCTCCACGGGGAAATTGACTTCGACCATCGCCTGACGACCTCCACCACCACGCAACGTCCGGGGCAGGAAAGTATCTCACCCGGCAATCATGGCGTGGCGAAGGCCTGAGCAACCAGTCAGGATCGGCCCAAAGGCGCGCGGTATAATTACAGCTGCCCAGGCGCCGTCACTCATTTCGCCTTTGGGTTTGAGTAGGCCATTGACTGGTTCATCCCACAGCGCCAGTTCTGCCAAGACGGGTCGAATTGGATCTCGACCTTTTACCGCGAAGCCAAAACCACCGCCGAAAGCAGCGTGCTGAAAACTCTTCTCGGCACGACGTCGCAGAGACAACCAAGTTTGCGGTGGTTCCCCGTCGCGCGGTCTCCCCAGACGAGCTGAGAGAGTCGGCGGCGAGGTACCAGTCCGACCGGGCCTTCGACGTCCCCGGCAACGGGTCGCGGTGACCTACTACGAGGCGAAATACGCCCGCCGACGCCAGCGTGGGGGCGCGCCAAACATTTTGGGTCGCTCAATTACAACACCCACCCAGCCGACAGCCGACGAGCTGAATCCCCTCAGTTCGACCTTCGAGTTTCCACCGTTTGGCTCTTAACGGTTTCCGTACTCTTGAACTCTCTCTTCAAGTTCTTTTCAACTTTCCCTCACGGTACTTTGTTCGCTATCGGTCTCGTGGTCATATTTAGCCTTAGATGGAGTTTACCACCTGCTTTGGGCTGCACTTTCAAGCAACCCGACTCTACAGAGAGGCCCTTTCCGACCGTCCCATCTGTACCCTCACGGGCGCCGCCATACGGGCCTGTCACCCTCCATGGGCAGTGGCCGCTTTCAAGCTTGACTTAGACGGTATGGGCCGGCGTGCTGGACCCTCTGAAACGCAACACCCCTCGTGCCCGAAGACATCGAGGTTATGCGCTGGGCTTTTCCCGGTTCAGTCGCCCTTACTAAGGGAATCCCTGTTGGTTTCTTTTCCTCCGCTTATTAATATGCTTAAATTTGGCGGGTAGCTCTCTCCTACTACGAGGTCGATCGTGGTCTCATCATCCTTAGGGGGAACAAGTTCCCCAACCACGAAGCGGAAGACGCTCTGCCACCGACTTTCTTCACCACCGACATTACCAGGCAGGAAGGTTTGAGGGGCTTGTCGCGGGGGTGCCAGCGGCCATGGCGCCGGCACTCCCACCCCTGACTCCGTTCCTTCTCATTGAGTGGTAAATAGCCAATAGGAAAAGTGTTCCAGCAGAACATCTCTCGCAGAGTCATATACACACACAGTTTTAATGCATATACGCTCGTGTTCCGCCCTTACTCGGCCGCACCTTTGCCGCTTAAACTTTGACCTCTTTCCCCGTTCCCGCATGCCACAGCAGTGGCACTTGTTTATCCGGAGAAAGAGAGCGAGAGTCACAGTATTAATTGGCGTGAGCGGCCTTTCCGGCTGCAGAACTAGTGCTCTATCCCGGCGAGCGCCGTTATGAGGCGCAACACCGTCTTTAACGCGTTTAGAGAGAACTCCCCCTGCCTCCCTCCCAGTCATGAGATAGGCGTGGACTCGTGGCGAACTCTCAAAGAGAACGCCCACACCGCGTCTGACCGTGGGAGAGGGTGGAGGAGCGCGTGAGGAAGAGCACGGCGTCACCCAAGCATTCTCATCTCTCTGCCTGCACCACTACATGGTAGACTGCGGGCCCAGGCGCACTCATCAATTTAGGTTCCACTGCAATGCATGCCAAGCACTCTTTTCGAGGTGATAGACGAAATTCCAGCGGGGCTTACTTAAAAGATATCCGACCCGGTTTCGTTTCCTCTTCGTGGGATGGAGTGCCTCTTAGAACATGTGCAGCATCAGCCATGAGCGGCCGACGGCCATTCGTGTCTCTGTGGACAGCAGGCAAAAGAGCGCCGCCTCCAGTTATTTCGAGGCGACAGCACCAATAAGCACTGTTGTGGTTGAATGTGGAGTGTAGCCAAGTCCATGGACTTGCTAGTGATAGGCTTGCTTGTTTTTAAGGGCACACGCCTCAGCGCAGAAGCGTGAGCGGTCGCTTAAAGGCGGGCTTCGGTTGAGGTTACCCACTAGGTAGAGACAGTCCTTGAGCACCGAGCTTCCGCGGCAACCGATGGATGTGGCTTCCGACCCTGAAACGTGAAGTGGCGACAAGCTCATATGGCTGCCGCCGCGCCAGCCTTCTTCAACTTGTCGATGTATCTGTTATTCTTCGCGATTCACCTTCACCGACACGCGGTTTGCCTGCGGTCTTCATCGACCCGGCGATGATCCCCGTTAAGAGTTGTGTATTTGCCATTTTGGTCTTTGCGACTAACCATCACAGGTCGAGTCTCAATAAAGGTTTGACAGGCTTATGCTTAAGTTTGTGGTTTGGGTTTGACGGACGGCTTGTTGTTGTTTTTGACGCAGAATTCCATATTTTTGGGTCAAGAGCTTTATTCGCCGGTAATGAGAACAGACGGGCAACCGTCCGCGTTCGTCCTCCTCCTCCGGTATTCGCTCTTGTGTGTGGTCCTGGCGTGGTGGTACCTATTTTTGGTGCAAATCAGGAGTAGTAGTAGTTTTAAGAGCGCCCGTTCTCTTTCTCTCTGTTAGATGCTTCACTTGGGTTTCACCTACGGAAACCTTGTTACGACTTTGCTTTCTCCAAATAGTCAAGTTTGGACATCTTTCCGAGTCAATAGAAGGCAGGCTGAAAACCCTCGCGGGCAGCGGGGCCGACAATCCGCCAGTCGAGGCCTCACTAAATCATTCAATCATTAGTAGCGGTGGTGATTAATGTACAAAGGAGGGCAGGGACGTAGTCAGCGCAGCTGATGACTTCACACTTACTGGGAATTCTCGTTCATGGAAACAATTACTGACCCCAATCCCTATCAGAAGGCTTTGAGCAGGTGCAACTCCTCTGAACTGGGTGCGATCTTCAGTGTAGCGGTAGAGCCCAGAACATCTAAGGGCATCTGGACCTGTTGTTGCTCAATCTCGTGCGGCTAAATTGCCGCTTATCCCTCAGAAGGATTGCGAACGGACACCATTTTGCGGAATCCGTCGACTGCCAGTGAGCAGAGTCTCGTTAGTTGTGAGATTAACCAGACAAAATCAACTCCACCAACTAAGAACGGCACACCACTTACCAGATCGAAAGAGCTCTCAATCTGTCAATCCTTGTCCGATTATTGGGCCTGGTGAGGGTTTCCGTATTTAGTCAAATTAAGCCGCGGCTCTCCCTCCTAATTGGTGCCCTTCCGTCAATTCCTTTAAGTTTTAGCTTCGCAACCGCCTTCCCCGGAACCCACAAGACTTTGGTTTCCACGAGCTACCGCAGGTCATAGAATAACACCGGCGGATAAGCTAGTTGATAGCACTCGTTTAAAGTTAGAACTAAGGCGGTATCTGATCGCCTTGAGCCTCTAACTTTCGTTCTTGATTAATAAAGAAAACATCCTTGTCTTTCCTGATGGATTCGTCTTCGCAGCGTTAAAATTTCACCCTCTGGAGTCATGTCGAATTCCCAACTGTTCGATTAGTCGTTACCTCTGGTTCGAAAACCAGCAAATAGACGGGGTCTATTGGTATTCCATGCATACCATTAGGGCCATTTATACTTCTCTGCGGGAACTTATTTTTTTAGTAAACTCTCCGACCCTCGGGGCACTGGACAAGAGCATCTGCGTGCGGGCGGCTGTTGGGCGTGGCATTTTGGCGGGCGATTGCCGTCAGTCGATGGTTAGCTATGAGCTTTTTAGCGTGCGCTTTAATATCGCTATTGGAGCTGGAATTACGCTGCTAACAGACTTCCTCAGTGGATACTCGTTAAAGGTTTAAGGTTTTTCATTCCGATTAGAGGCCTCGGTGGGACTCATGTGTTTTTTCGTCACTAATCCGTGCGGGAGTTGGTAATTGCGTGCTGCTGCCTTGTTAGTGTGGTTTCGTTTATAAGGCTCTCTGTCGATGTTTCCCGTTGCCGTTATAGCCATTGTAGGCGTAAACTTACATT